CGACGGAAAACCTAAAGATGTTGAGTTTACCATCATCAAAAATGGTAAAAGTGAATTTTTAGCATTTGGGGGTTTAAAAACTGCATGTAACTGTGTAGTTGGGGTCAATAGGTTGATTCATTACATTGATAAATCTAATTCAATACAGGGTTAGGGTCAGAAATATTGAAAATATTGAAATATTGAAAAAAGTACATTGTGATTGCAGTTTTGGATATTTCCCATAAATATTTGTAAGTATTGTGTACTAGTATTTTTGTACTAGGAGGTTGTCAACAGTTAGTGTAGATGATTTATAAGAATCAAGAAGTAGAGATAAAACCTGAAAGCCTTAGTTTTCCAGGAGCCGTCAGATGCAGCTGCAGTAACAATCGCTAGCTTTAGGTTACAGCTCACATTTACCACGAAGTGAGGATTAAAGTCCTGAGCTGCTCCACGTCTGAGCTGCCAGGTGAGTTCCTGAAACACCGCCGAGCTTCTTCAAACCTCGAACACTGCTGTGTTACTTCGTTTCCACGTTAGCTAACGTTACCTGTCCACCCGGTCTTTAGCTCTCCCTCCGGCGGCGGAGCGGCTTCCATTGGCCGCCTTGTGCTTGTTCTCCATCGCCTCCTGCGCTCCGGTGATATCCCCCCGACACAAATGAAAATCACAGCTTCAGCCTCACCATGAATCCACCGGGGCTGCTGTTGTCTGCTCCCCGCTCACACTTCGCGACGGGCGGGACGGCGGAGTTTGAACTGAGGCAAGTTCCCGTTCACTTTCTCCATGTTTGTTGTTGTTTGACGGGAGAAACGGGGACGGGACGCCGCAGCTGCCCGGAGCTTTCTCTGGGACTCAAACCCCTCTGAAGAGGGAAAGCGGTGCAAAGCGTTCCCCCCGCAGCCTCAGCTCGCTTTAGCTCAATTCTCCCAGTGTTGTGTTTGTGTGGATCGAGTTTGCCTTGAGTTTTTTTTTTTTTTAAATCGCCATCCACATGCACCTGCTGCTGCCCCGGCCCCTCCGCTTCCTCCTCTTCTTCTTCTAGTTTCTCCTCCAGGAGAGAAGGTCTGAGTCGCTGCTCTAACACCAACACTAACACCACTCGATCTCCTCCATGTTACTCACGTGTCCTCCATTGCTCCCGTCCAGACTCCTCTCCTGCTCCATGGAGGATTTCGGACTCGTGACGTTTGCCCCGGGACACACACGTCAATCAGACCTAATGGTGCGTTCAAGTGACTCCCGTGAAAACCCTGTCTTCAGGCGAAGCGGGGCAACTGACTCACGTTTCAGAGTATCAGAGTTTCAGAGGCAGATTCAAGGGGCTGCACGGGCACATTAAAAACAACAGAGAACAAAAATGAGAATAAATCCGTTTAAATACTATTTTCAAGTAAAATCAAAGAGATGAAAGGAGTAGAACAGAAGAGTAAAATAAATAAAAAGGAGAAATCTGTATACACATTTTAAATGAGTTAAAGGAGTAAAATTATATGAACGTCAACTGTGTGAAATAAAATAGATGCAATGATGGTATGACATTTTAAAATTGTTTAATCGAAGGCACTTTTCAAAGTTTTCAATCTGGTTTTTAAAAACTTGAGGGTGAGACACTTGCTCATAACTTGTTGATCCGAGAAACATCCAAAAACTATGAGATGAAACAACTACGAGTGAGGATAGAATTTAATGCAATAATAAAGAACTATAACATAAATATGACCAACAACAATCTAAAAAAGTTGTGATGTTGTGCATAAACACATTTAAAAGGAAATGAGGACGATAACTGGAGAGTGGTTAAAAGGACTTTGAGGAATAATCATTTTTACATCTAGTTTTACTTTTCATTATTGCATATATTTACCACCTATTCGTGCATCAACTCTATGTGAGGAGGAGAACATGTAGCAACTCTTGTTTTGCATTAAGCAGCTGCTGAGCTGCAGTATCCCAGGAGAGGTATTTCCATCTCAGAACATTTTATAAAAGTATTCAATATGTATTTAGCATGTAATTGGCATTAAATAAACTGTAACACTCACAACAGCCTGGAACTCAATCACCCCCCTGATCCTAAACTTCCTTCAGGGTCCCCTCCCCCACTTGATACTTAATAGGATTAGTATGTCGAATGAACCCTGAAGGCAACAAAAAAAAGGGTGAGTAGCCACGCCCTCTTCAGCACAGCCACGTAGCACAGGTGAATAAATCCAGACTCACCTGAGCCTCTGCTGGGCAGCTGCACGGATTCAAACATGATGCTGCACGGATTCAAACATGATGATTCAAACATGATGATTCAAACATGATGCTGCACGGATTCAAACATGATGCTGCACGGATTCAAACATGATTCAAACATGATGCTGCACGGATTCAAACATGATGCTGCACGGATTCAAACATGATGCTGCACGGGTGAAGCTCCCATATAATAATCATCATACAGGCCCAGGGTTTGTTTTTTTAATGAATCAAACATTTGGCACTCAAAAACCACCTTTTCCAGCATCTGCACAGTTTCACATCTTGAGGGAAACATAACATGATGAATGAATGACTTTTTCAGTTAAAATATAAACAGTTTAGTAAATGTAAGAAAGAGAGGAGGAGCTTGCTGTCTTTCTGGAAAAGGTGACGAGTATCAAAATGAGGCAAACCTCACATCAAGTCACCAGATTTTAAATTTGATTATGAGCTAATGAGAGAAACTGGAGCAGAGGTGCAGACGCTGACCCAACACTTTCATCCAGCTCCAGGAACGTCTGTTACACAATAACACTGAGGTTCGTCACGCAATCTTTTCCTTGTAATGATTGTTTTTTAAAAAGCTGAAAAAAATAATGTGGTCATATACATTAGATTGGATTAAATTGTATTGAAAAGAGGTTAAAGGCTGAAAAACAATTGCATACATTTTTTTATATCATCCTTTTGGGATTCCTGAAAATCAGATTTAAGTTTCACTTCCCTACAAAAACAGACACACAATTACAACACAATACTCCTCACTGGACAGATGAAGGCTCATTAAGTCTTCGGTCTCTCTTTGTCTTGTGAAAATACCACACCCTTATATGTCTGCAGTCGTGTAATTCTGCTCTCCGGACTTCCCACCACTGACATGTTTGGCCCTGCTGTGTGAACATTCGTCTGTTCTCGGTGCTCGTCACCACGTGCAAACACTACAGTTTGGTGTAGGTGTGTGCTAGTCACTGTTTCACAGACCGACAAGGTCGCCTGAGTCCAGTTAATCAAGTGTGGATTGAAGATTAACACAATTTCTTCCTTTGAAACAACCTTGTAACCACTGTCACATGTATTCAGAATCAGAAACTGAATTTCATCGCCAGTTCCCTATAAAGTAATTTATATACACAGAGATCTGAATAAAAATCTAATTAAAGCTGTTTTATTCGGAATAATCAAGGTCAATGCAAAATTACTATATTCCACTATAAGTGTGTTATTATATATATATATATTTTTTAATGAACATTTATTAACATACAGATAATACTGTTTTGTATCTTCATAGTCAAGGAAAGAAAAGTTTTGCATGTAAACTATTGAAGATATACAACATGCATTTGAAGAAATTATTAACAGATTAACAGATGTACACTGAAATAAATTATAATACAGCTTCAAAATGAAATGCTGGTTTATGTTGCCCAGCGGCTGTATCATGTTTTGCAGTGTAAATTAAATTTTTGGTAGCCTATTGTTTTTTACAGTGTTGAATCTTTTTGAGTAGAGAGGAAACAGTTTTTTGTGCAGAAATAGAAAACAGTTACCATGTCGGCTGTTTTCAACAATTCAACCTTGATAAGCGTCTGGACAGCCAGTCTAACAGTTGCAGGTCATTTGAGGTCATCGGTGTGATATTATTACTATTAGTGACGCTTGTTCTTCTGTAGAACCACTTCATCCATTTCTATACACAAAGACAGACAGAACACCAGTGTTACTTTTTACTGCTGCAGCTGTGAATGTTGCTGATGTATAAGTCAACATTATATCTGCGAAAGTCCAGCCAACACTGATACTAGTTATATGATGGTACGTCATCGTTAGCCATTGATATCAACCTAAAAAGTGAAGGTGTCAGTAAAGCGTATGATTTTGGGTTTATATGTTTGTTTGACCGAAGGATCCCCATAGTTGATTGTTGTATACTTTGGCCTCTGTGTTTTCTGCTCAGGTGTAATCTCAGGTACTGTTACATCGATGGTCTTATTGTCTTCAACCTCATTGGCAGTGTCTTCAGAAAGTCTTTGTTGCATTTTAGTGTCTTTAATGTCCACCACTGTTACTTCTTCTTCTGCCACTGCCGCCTTCTTGTCTTTTTCCAATGGTTTAGCCTCTGGAGGTTTCATCTTTGTTACGCTATGATTAATATGGCTGATATCAATGTCTTGAAAAGTCTCTATTTTCATTAATGCTTTGTTAAAAGCAGTTGTAGAAGTATCAGACTGTGATGATGGACTTATAGTTTCTCTATCTGGAGCTAATTGAGAGGAAGAATTAAATCGATCAGGACCTTGATGGTGACAGGGAAGTCTGTGAACACGTGGGATGACATATTTACACAGCCGTCTTTGAATGTCCTCTGCTCTGGAGTGATTTGGAACCTCCACTGCTCTGCTCTCCATGGAGTCATGACCTGTTTCCGGGGAAAGCTCCTGAACTTCAGGTTTTGCACTGCTTTCAGTGACGAGATCTGAGAGTTCACCTGCAGCTGACTCGCCGTGAGAGAATCGCAGCGCTCCACAAGGACTGTTTTTCTCCACATTTGGTATCGTCTCTGAGATCTCAGGCTTGGTTTCTTGCAGATATTGTTTGGGAGAGGAATCCACACATGTGGACCACACAGAAGAGCAGGACACAATGGTTGCTACATGCCTGTTCAATAAAGGCTCTGATTGTGGAAACAGCCTGCAGGGTTCTGGTGGTGCCCACTCTGAGACAGACAATAAACAGAGCATCTCCTGACGTCCATATTTTAACCTGTTGGTGATGCATTGAGTTTCATCAGCTCTGGTCCGAATTAGACCACATCCCGCTTCAGACCTCCAGTCCTTAACATCGTTATCATTAGCTTGACTGTTCACATGTTTTAATGAATAATGACAATCAACCTTTTGATCTGGAGGCTGATAACCCATTTGTCTCATTTGTTCTACTTTCAAACTATTATTTTCTCTCAGGTTTGTGTCTGATTTTGTTAAAATGTCCACTGTCTGCTCTGGTCTTTGCTCTTGTCTAGGTTTACTTTTCATTGCCTTGTATAGGTTTTGTTTGTTAACAGTTTGATCTACCGCCTGTCGTTGACCTTTTTCATAACAAGCCACCTTCTGTTTTATACTGCCCGTCACCTCCTTGTCATTTCCTTGAGATGATATTTTAAGTGAACATTTCAAGTCACTTCCCCTGCAAACTGTGGCAATGGTCTCAAACCTCTCCATCAAGGAAGATAAGAGGATCCCTCGCCCAATGAGTCTCGGCTTGATTGGCTGTTTCTTCTGCATATTTAGTCCCATTTCTTTCTGCTCAGCCATTGCAAACCTGGCCACCATGTCCTTCACACTGCCTCCTCTCTTCAGTCCTTTTCCTCTTTTAGCTTGGTCCTTCTTGAGCGTCTCTCCCTCACTGTCACGGTTGTGGCTCACTTTACCTGCCACACCTCTGCTGGAGGACAGGGTTCCTACCTCCCTCTGGTGGGTGATGGGAGGTTTAGGTGTAGACCTGGTGAATTTAGACTGGAGGAGCTGGAAAGTGGTGAGACGCCGAGGTACTACGTCTTCTCCATATCTGCTTGGCAATCTGTCTCTCTTCAGATCCGACCAGCATTTTCTGAAGATCTTGGAACCGGTCTCAGGATTTCTCTGTGTCTTTTGATGCTCCTCAGGAAACTGAATCATTGCCTGACTCTGGGTCTGTTTCACTGAACTCTCTGTTCTCTGATCAGGACAATCCTTTGTTGTGTTTCTGGTTGCCACAATGTCAGATCCCGGCTTCTCCAGGTTTCTCTTTATGGTGGACCACCTGGGCAGACCCTGTGTTAGGTAATGCAGGAGACTTTCAAAAATCCCTCGGAGCACTGGACGGCAGTTGCGATCTCTAACCAACTTCCTCAACATACCGGCATCAGGGCTGATAATGGTGTTCCAAGAATCTGGTCTACGGAGAATAGAGGACATGTCAAACTTAATCCCTGTAGCTATCTGCAGCCAAGTTTCATTCTTTCTTTCACAACGAGAAGTGCACAACTTAATAATGATGAAAATAATAATCAATTGATGATTCAGTTAAAGTTGGCATTACATCTTTTCTCACCCTGAAAGTCAGTCTGAAGAATGAGCATCACTGAACTAGCCAGGGTTTCAGGAGTAGAGTAAATGCGGCCATTCACAGGGACCATATAAAACTACTTTGAGCAATATCTAAAAATATTTTGTCTTTTCACTTTTACTTATTAATCATTTACCCTTGAGATGCAGCAAAGTACAGGACTTGAAGTGCAGTGTTTTTGCAGTGCGGACGTGTTACAGCTGATTAGTTGAGGGGAGTATAGAAGACATTTGTGCAACAAGAGGAAATCTGGCAGGAAATTAAGAAGCGGTCCGTCAAAATACATGATGCAGTTAAGACAAAGAGACAGGCACCTCATGCGTGATAAATATCTGAGTCCATTTTAATTGTCATGTCATATTAATATCCACCATATCGTGGTGCTTTCACAATAAAGCACACTGTATCTGATAAGAGCATCACAGTGCAAACAGTGATACATATAAAAAGAAAACAATTACTATTCTACAACTTCAAACTGGTATTTCTAATCATTTCATAACTTCAACCACATTTACATGCACTGATCAGCTAAAGATAGTTATACAGTACAGCACCTTAGATTCAGTTAATATTTTTAGATAAAAGCAGGAAATCAGGTTTACTGAGCCTTATGTTGAGACCTTAAAACTCATCATTGTTTGCACATTTAAATTAAATTACTCCACAATACAACGTGGTGCTTAATGTTAATTCAGGTTAGCCTCAGAGAAGGAACGGATTGGAGAAGAATATTATCTTCTGGTTGTTAGTGCACAATTCTTAATGAACTGTTTTGAGAATTTTCTTTCCCCCAGTTCTGTTATTTAAATTTGAAGCAACACTATGCAGCTTTTTTTAATGTAACCTTAGAAAAAGCTGCCTCAAAACGAGTTTGATGGTTCATTGAGTTAGAATAGGGAGAATGGTGCCACTTTTATTCCCAGAGAAGTGTATAACCGACTGATAGATAGAGCTTAAATAACCAGAATTAGATCCAGCAAGTTCATGATTAACGCTGAGCTGTTGATCAGTTGAAAAGATGTAGAAGTCATTAAATGATTTCTTTCTTCGTGTTTACCTCCAATATACAGTGTGGAAACTTATAAAATGTGAAGAATTCTGAACAGAGTTTGTTGAGTTTGTTACAGCTGCAGCTCTTCGCGGTCAGGAACTTGGGGATCATGGGCAATAGCCATCTTTCAGTGGGACTACTCGGTCAGACCTTAGCCCAACAGAGTTATTCAGTATGTGCGGCTGCAGGGGGCGCTGTTGCTCAGTAAAAGTTACATAGTGTTGCTCTAAGGGAGATGAGTCTTTGCAGGATTAAGTCGTCCAAGAGGTCAAACTGTGCCAGATCCCCTGGTTTAAACTGACTCCAGATGTAGGAAGAGAGTCATGATCTAGTAGAAAATATTCGCGTCAGATGTGTGGACAGTGGGCTGCAGCAAGCTTTAAGGAGAAGAGGGCAAGATTGGTGATGAGAGACCAGAACGCCACTTAAGATAATTGAGACACTACCAAGGAGGACTAGAGGGTGGTGTGGGACAGAGGGAAGCAGTTTTAGAGTCATGTGCAGTTCCGCTGATAGCCAGTAGGGTTCAGGCCAGTGAAGATCAGGATTACTTGTCTATTTTCTCTGCAGACGCTGCCTTGTACAGCGCCTCCCCCAGCTCCTCCAGCCGCTCTCTTTTGTCCAGATCCTGATAAAGTCCTGAGGGAACCTGCTGGCTCAGGCCGTGCATGAGGCCATAGAGGCAACCTGCAATCAGGCCTGTGGCTTCACTCTCACCTAAAACAAGACAGAGTGATTCCACAGTGAGCACAGCATGTGTTAAATATGAGGTTTAAAATGTCTTGCAGGTGCAGAGCTGTGTTTCTCACCTCCGTGGAACATGGCTCGTTTACACAGCTCAGACCAGTCACTCCCCGCAGCCAGGAGGGCATCGTAGGCTATCATTGGGGCATCGTGACCTCTGCGGCCCGCACGGCCCTCTGAGCTCCAGCGTTTATACACCTGTGTGGACAATAGTCAAACTGAGTAACATAAATGTGAATATGAATCTGCCCTTGTATGTTTTGTTGTTTTTACTTAGTCGGAGCTTACCTTGTCTGTCTCCTCAGCATCATAGCGATCAGCGAACAAAGGTTTGTTCTGTCCATCTGTTTCTATCTGTCTCTCTTCAAGGTAAAACTGCCACTTGGCCTCAAAGTAGAACCAGTTTTCCTGATACTCTGCATAGAAATGTTCAATCACATACATAACTTACAACAGCACACAGTCATTCTTTCTCAAACACATTGGTATTTCTCATTCTATTGTGTTTTATTTTACACAGGAGCTTCAACGGACTTGATTAACTCAACCAAGCTGTCCAACAATGACGTCTCCTTCACTTAAATACAGAAACAGAGTCTTACCTGCCATGTGTCGGATGGTCTTCCTGCAATACTCCTCTGCCCGAGGGATGACCTTCAGAAGCTCCCGGCCCCAAGTCACAGGAGATTTCCCCTGAATCGCGTAGGATGCAAACAGTGCTGTTGTCATGGAACCAAGGAAGCCTGAGGAGAAAGGAGATACTTAAAGTCACACATGTTCTGTCTACTGACATGAGCAGTACAGTAATCAGAGATATGTTAAAAGAAACACCAACATTATCACCTGTGGGGTGGTTGTGTGTCATTCTGCCGATTTCAATGCTGACCTCCACCAGGTTGTCTAGTCTCTCAGGTTGCCAGTATCTCATACCCACACACATGGCCTTAGCAGCTGCCCCGAAGCCAGACCCTGCACACAGACACACATGTTCATGTGCTGCAGTCATGTTGGATCCACTAATAATATCTAATATAAATCGAAAATGTCCAATAACCTTTTTCATTGAAGGGTGTGTGCCAGGCGAGCAGGAAGTTGTGTGGTTTGAGGTGAACACATCCCTCCACTGTGGCAGGATCAGGGGCTCTGCCCTGGAGGGACACCATCGCCTCAACATAGAGACGCACCAGCTCCCGGTACAAGTCCTCCAGACACCAGTAATCTGGACACGCACACACAAACACACACACTGAGAGTCATTCATGACTGGCATGCAACGCGAGATGAGTGGGGCTGTAGCGGGCTAAGTTTAGCCTCAACCTGCCTCACCACAGATTAGGACCAGCATGCCTGTGGAGCGAGTGGAGTCACTTCCACACAACATGAGGTCAACTGCAATCCACGGGCAGAGTTTCCAGCCTCCCTGTCAGAGTTTGTTTATGTGTGCACTGTGTGTGTTTGCATGTGTTTGCATGAGAGAGAGAGAGAGAGAAAGAGAGAGAGAGAGAGCTTGCGCTGACAAAGAAGCCTAACCAAATTTAGTGGTCAAGGGCTTTGATGATAGACAGGAACTTTCATGTTTGTGACTGGACTGTGGTTCAGACTGAGTTACACAGAGGGGGAGGCAGGAGAGATACATGAAGAGGGAGTTGAGGGAAGAGAATGATGTTTAATAGACTAAGTCCCTATAGATGAGTTCCAATAATCATTTTCTGTGGATGATTTAGGGGACTGATGAGTTCTGAATTGTTTGTGGTTTGTAAGGAGACTGTTGGCTGTGGTATGCTTTCTACTGATTGAGTTTAAGTTTTTACTATAACATTTAGTTTTACATGCTGTTTGTCTGTGTGCTGTATATGAAGATTGACAGATCGCCAGTGTTTATACAAACAACAGTCATTTCACTCCATACATTTTTGGATGTCTGGTGTGTGTGTGTGTGTGTGTGTGTGTGTGTGTGTGTGNGTGTGTGTGTGTGTGTGTGTGTGTGTGTGTGTGTGTACAGGCATGCTGCATTGTGGCTAAATAGGGCCTCCTAATCTCAAAAGATGTCACCACCATTTCTCTGGACCACTGACACTGACTTTAAACCACACCTGCAGCCAAATATGATGGCAGCAGATTATGGAGTCGTCTGACCATTGTTCAGTGACGGAGAAGTGGGGATCAGCTTTTCCAGAGTGGTCTATTTTAGAATATTCTGCCCTTGTTACTCTTGATGGTATGAGATCGTATTTGGGTGACAGCATTTATACAAAAGATTCCACTAAGACTCTTTGACATCCTGTTTCATGGTACGTCAGGTTTGGTCACCCAGTAGGTGGTCAGCAGCCTCCACTGACTAGATGGAGTCATTCTGGTTCTTCTATATGCAGAGCAATTAAAAGCCTCATGTACATATTTTAGGGTTGTGGTTATACATTTCTTAACAGCTAATGAAAATTTGTTTTGGATATTTATGTGTATGTATATGTAAATACAGCTGAGGTTACATTTGTAAATTTTCATTTATTACTTAACATTTTAAAAAAGGAGAAAGAATGATGAGTTCCAAAACTTGTGATTTCCACTCTGTGATCTGCCTCTTAGACGATCTAAAATTCTCTTTATGACATTACTCCTTGACGTACCTGTTATTAGAGCTTCTGCTGTGGTCATGTGCATCAGCGTTGCATCACTCAGGGGCCAGTTGTCTGGGTCCAGTTTCATGGCCCCGAGTCCCCCCAGGGAGGCCAGCTCCTCCTGGATCTTCTTGCCTGAGATGCAGCCTTCCCAGCGGCCCTTTCTGTAGCCCAAGGCATCCCCAACAGCACCTAGAACCATGGCTGCCTTGAATTTCTCCATGATGTCCAGGGCTCCACTCACGTGGGCTCGCCCAGCTGATCAAATCAAGATCTCTGGAATGAGCTCTCCTGGGATCTGGACGACTGACTCCTGGTGCAAACAAATCTGAATCTCAACTCCTGAAGAATTCAAACAGCCAACTAAGATTCCCACCAGACCTGGAAGTGCCACAGACTTCTGTCTCTTCTACAAAAGCATCACTCTATCAGCCACAGCTTCTTTGTGTTGGGCGGCGGTGACTTCAGCTGTGATCAGGTGTTTCCTAAAAAGGCAATCCCCATGGCCACAGTGGCCATAAGCTGGGTGTGAACGGGTAGTGGGGGGGCTGGACGCACTGGAAGAAGAGATGCTCATGTGCTGCTGGGCCGGTCAGCTGGTGCCAGACTTTGTTGACATCCCACCCGTCCCATAAGAGAAGGGTAAGAATGGAGCGTGATCCCAGTTGAATCTCCCCTACAACCACTCCCATGAGCCGCTCTAATCCATACCTCACTATTTAAAACTTTTTTCATGAATCATCTCCTGCCCTGACATCAGCTAATCGAGGCTCCAGTCATTTGAACCGTATCCGGGAGTTTCCCTCCTTCCTTTAATCCTCAGATTGGACCTTTTTTTGAGTCGTGACGCAAATCTGTTATTCACAACCTATTATACACATTTCACTTGGCCCTTCACTTCTTGTATGTGGCCCTTAACCTAGTTAGAGTAACAGTAGACAGTGCATTACCATAAGAGCCAACAATGATGACACGAAGCAGGAATGTAGCCGATAAGAGGCAACTGTTACCAGATGCACACGCTCAAACACACACTGAAGGCCGGCAGTGCTTTTAAGTCCATTCACTACTTATGTTAAAATTGCATAAATCAGCCATTTTTTTGGCTGGATAAAAACCTGCTGAATTTTGAGTGGCAGTTTTTACAAAAACACTTTTAACCAAACCAAATTAAATAGTCAAAAGTCAAACCAACAAAAAGAGTGATGGAGTGAAGAGTTTTGTTTGATGAAACACAAATTAGGGGAGGCAGTAGCTCAGTCCATAGCGACTTGGCTTGGGAACCGAAGGGTGGCCGTTTCAAGTCCATCATGGATGGAAGTTGGAGAGGTGCCAGTTCACCTCCTGAACCACCCAATTGCTCCCCGGGCGCCTTCATGGCTGCCCAATGTTCCGTGTGTGGTCACTGTCCGTGTTCCGTGTGTGCTCCGTTCACACGGATGGGTTAAATACAGATGTCAAATTTCCCCATGTTTGTGTGTTGCATGCTGTGTGTGGGACCATAAAGAGGAATCTTAATTTTAATTGAAGATGTTTCTTTCATTGTTGGATGGATTATGCAAAATCTGCTCAACTGATTTATGTGACATTTTGTGGGGGGTGGGACAAGATGTCCAAAAGAAAAAAACCGTTATAGGTGTGAAGAACTACCTGTCCTTGTTGGAGTGAATGAGACATGTTAAAAACAACATGCTTTATTGACAATTTTCTGAAAGAAAACAATGCATGGTATGTTTCTGTGACAAAACATGATATTCTGTAAATAGGACATACCAGTTTCTTGCTGGTAAAAATAACACTGTTTTGATGAGAATGATTAGCATGACTAAAAACAGTTGATCACACATTTGACAAATAAACTCGTCTGTAATGTACCATATTAGCACTGAATACTGAAAGATTTTTTCATTCTACATTTTCTTTCTTAGCTCTCACATCACCTCACTGTCGTCCTGACTGTGATCGGTTTACACACATTTGAACAGTACTGACAGATTATAACATATTTCACTGAAGCAACACACATGTATCTGTTTTTCTCTTGCCACTCATCCACATTCCATCTGGGACAGAAATCATAATTAACTTCCATCCTGATTGATTTCATGACGGTTACATTCATGAACACCGCTGTGGTTTATCACCGACTCATGTCTACATAAATATGAGAATTGAAACAGTTTGTCAACCTAATAAAAAGTAATAATCTCCCCTGCAGTTAGCTGTTGACGTGGCACAGGTTTGATCATGGTGACAACACTTGGCAGAAGAAGAGAGCAGCTCACCAGTTAGAACAGAAAGCATAGGTAGGTTAAATAATCATGTGAGTACAGGAGGCTGCCTGCTGCGAGCCGACTGGTACCTGAGCTCTTTACCTTCTGTCACTCTGTATCTGGGAGAGCTGATGGAATTAAGACAGAGTTGTTTAGTGTTTATAATGACACTGAAAAAACAACATCAAATCCTGTACAGGAGGAAAAGCATTGCTGCACTAAGCACTAAGGGTCAGAGGTCAAATTATCCCAGTTTATGTGTTACTCACAGACTTGCGACCCCATCTAGCTATAACGCAGAGAAATAATATACTGCACAGCCACCCATAGATGGCAGCACAAGCACTGTTCTTAAAGTGGCATGTTTTTCTCATACATAAAGTCTCTGCAGTAGCTCTGTGGAGCTTTAACATACCACTTCTGCCCTACAGTTGCCAATAAAGAATTAAACCTCAAGCTGTGTAAAGAAACATTTAAACTAATCTAATCTGGGATTTGTATTTTTCTTTTTAAAAAGTCTAAAGTGTAAATGAAACCTACTGTCGTGTAAAACAGAAAAAAGTGTAAATCAGTGCAGTTTGCAGAGTTGGCAAGTCATTATAACCTGGATTGTAGTAATATAATAAAACAGTCAATGTGCCAGTCAGTTCCTTTTTGTGTTCAGCAGTTTACACACTGCAAAACCAAAGGAAACCAACACTAACAAATGCAATGCAACAGCATTTTTAAACAATAAGGATCCTACTCTAAATGCTTGTTATGTTCTAATGATTATAAACGGCATTACTTGTTTTCTCAGATACACGTTTTTGTTCATCTACTCTTATCTTTTATTAGAACAGTGTTTTACAGTTGTAACAAGAGCGATTCTGCTGGTGCTGAGTTCGAAAAGCATGCTGCTTCATCAAATCCTCTGAGTACAAAACGTGCTTCTGAACCTTTTCAACATCACTTTAACTCTTACATGAATTAAAACAAAATATTTCGCATTGTATTGTAAAAGAGGCAATATGTTTAACTCCCTGCCCCAAACGCACACAAACGCACACAAACGCACACACACTTTCTCCACTCGCAGTTTGATTGTTAGAGAACTACCCATTCACAATCTCAGTCAAAATAATGTAGATTACTTCTTTCCCTCCTTAGCGTCCACAGCACAGCTTCACACGAGCCGACAAAAACATGCAGTTTTAAACACACCGTTCCATTCACAATTTACAAGGTGAGAAGCCACGTCCTCCTACTGCATCTTCAACAGAATCCTCTGCATGTGCTGGACGCTCACTTTGACTGCCCCTCCTCACTGTGCCAAGGGTGTAGGTAAGTGAGCCAAGTCCACAGCAGCAGTTCAAAGCCGCACCCATCTGTGACTTACCCTCGAGGGTCGAGTTTTTGGGTACCTATTATATCCATATTGCAAATATAGTCTGTCCTTGTCAGCATTCATCTCTTTTTGATTTCCCTCCTGCTTTCCTCTCGTAACTGGTTTTCAAGGTCACTCCTCAACCAAGGCATCGTATGCAGTTGGAAGAACAATCTTAACAACAAGCTGCGGCGGGCTTATTGAGAAGTCTCTTTTTGGCTCATTTGTATAAAAATTCTCAGTCAAAGAACAAGAAAAAGTGGAAGAAACACAAACTCCATCTGCTGCATGAAGCTGGGACAAACATTATGTCAAGTTGCATGTAATCCCCGTCACTATCGGCCGAGCAAACTCCACAAAGTCATCTATGAGGACAGGCCATGCCCCTGAGGAGAGAGGACAGGATGACAGGATATTAATTCTAGATGCAATCTAATACAATGACTTTACAGGATGCTGTGGTTATTAGCTTGTTTCCCTCCACAATAAGCCAGGAAGATTGTTTTAAGAAATAAATCTCAGACAAAAGAATTTTATTATTCAATAGTCTTCACAAATAAACCTAATATCAATCACTAGCAGTAAAAATCTGATGTCAAGCTATAATCACACCATCACGTGACTAACACGTCACCACATCTGAGCTTCCAACTACTTCTAGCTTGTAATCTTAAGATGCTGCACATATCTTCTGCAAAAGTACATCCATTTACAAAGTTAATAATCGTTTGGAAAAGTGTGAGTATAAACAAAACAAGGCTGCAAAGACAGACCAGTGGATTCGTGGGTTTTCAAGTTTGGTGTAATAATTGAACGAGCAGGGTATTAACTGATGTATTTTTTTTAAAGCATCGACTTCAGGGTGAGGGAACAGAAAGTGCTTAGACACAAGCTTGTTGTCAGGTTTTAGAACAATTCCTGCAGGGCTGCATTTATCAAAGCAGTGTTCACATGCCAGCGCCCCCTGTAGGCCTGAAGGTGATCCTCTATAATTCTGTTAACTGTGTAACTTGGTTTCAGAAGTGGAGGGGACACAACGATGTCAGACGTTCTCCAAAAAACATGAAAAACAAGTTGAAAGTATATAAATGAAATCACAAGCATTATTATCTTCATTTAAATAGAGTTATATAATCTAGTCACCCATAATTTTCTTGTTAGAGGCCAGATTTTTTAAACAATATTGATATTATATTAAATTAAAATTAAATACATCAGTTTAGCAAAAAAATCAACAACAATTATAATTTCAACAATAAATCTTTAAACTCAATATTTATTTACTACAAAGAGCACTGTATTCTACTGTATCATCTTTGAATGATTGATCAGCTGGACGATTGTATGACAGTTTATTGGTCTAGTGTTCCCCAGTGAAAATCGTATTTATGTGAATACAGAAGTAAGTTACTGATTCGCCATATTACATTGAGTGTGTATTTTAGTACAAAACATTTGATTTGATAACATTCACTTGTAAATTAGCTCAAAAAAAAAGTGAAGTAAATCCAGCTGAGTGAATTCAATGTCACTTCAACAGTTTTTAACAAACTCACCTTCCTCGTCATAGTTTGACATGTCGTCTGCAATCATATTGCCAAAGTCCAGGAGGAGGTTCCATGTATCCTTGGGTATCGACCGCTTGTGATGCTCCTGAATGCAGCACAGTAACAGACAAGTCTAACATTATATTACATATTAACTTTATGAAAATCATAATAACTTTAAATTGTTGTTGACATTGTCGGAGTGATGTTTTTTTCCAAAACTACTGGTCCTTAATATGTTTAAATGAGGTGGAAGTAACATAATTCTAAAAAAGAACTGTATGAATGTAGTCATAAACTACAAATAACATGTTAACTAAGAGAAACACGGAACATTTAAATAACAGTGGGAAAACAAAACTTCATTGCATAACACTCACCAGCAGGAACCGGTTCCAGAGATCCAAGAACTTAAAGCGACCCGTGAGAACTAGATTCCAATAAGCCACAGCCATCTCTAGGTCTACGGTGGAAAGTTATTAAGATTAGATATGTTGTCATTTTGATTAAAAAACAGGTCAACTTTTTAAAACAGCAGGATATTGTTTGGTGGAAAATCTATGAAGACCAAGTCTAGCAAACATGCCAGGTTCTTCTTCTTACCTAAACCTTTCTGGCCGGGGTTCTTGGCAAAATTGAAAGTAAACTGGTAGAAGTCTTTGAACTTTCCTGTGTCTTTCAGCTCCTGCTCCAGTCTGGGAAGGATCGACTTGAGTTTTTCAGGGCTGTCACAGCTGGGGGAGACGATGAGGACAAATAGAAACGATTAATCAAAACCAAAATCTTCTCATTGGGAGAGGTAGATTAGTGTACACAGGAAATGAGCCAATGAAATTTGAGGTTTGTCACCATTTAAGTTTATTTGTAACACATTCGGTTTAAGATCCAATATATTTTACTTGTAGAAACAAACAGCAAAGTTACAAACCTTAATAAAAACTGTCATTAATGAGGTTTTCTTAACTACTGCTATATAAAGAATGCAGCAGCTTCCCTGTTTATTGTAGGTTTCAGTATCCGTGTTGCTCACCCTAGCTCAGACATGCCATCCAGAAACTCTTTCCTGCTGAACTCGCATTGCGTGGCCGCCCTGAACTTCCACGCCACCACAAGTATACTCATGCTAGCTGGGTCCAGGAACAGGTCATCACAGAACTGCTGGATCCCATCGATGCCTATCTTATTCTCATCCTGGGGGTCTGCAAAGAAGAGAGTGGAAAACAATGCACAAGTGCGACAGACGCGACAAAGCAAAACTGTGCTGACAATAACGTTAGGATCTGAAACCCTTGCCTTTGTATTTGTTGTAGAGCTGCTCCAGCTTCTTGCGGTCTACTGAGGTTTTCATGGATTCTTTGTAGTAGAGGTCTGGGTTTTGGAAGTAGTTGTCTGTGGCGACTTCTAGTTTCCAGTCATTCTGCGTCAGGCAATACACGGCTGTCCTCTCCACAGCCTGTGTGAAAGACATGAACTGCCGAACCTTGTCCTTCTGCGATGACTTCAACTTGTGCTGTGAAGGAAGACGAGGTTGGAGTAACCTGTTACAGGACAAAGCTCAAACACACAGCAGAAACGTAGCAAAGTTCCTGGTCTGGAATATTATAGCATTTGTTTAAGTGAAAATTTGTTGAGGAAAAAATCATCATAAAAGCACAATATGAACTGCAACTTTATTTAAAGTTTTAAAGATTTTGACTTGAATTTTTTTTGTGCTTGGAGCACTTTTCTAAACAATTTGCAAATAAATAGAAGTACCATAAAAAGGGATTGCTAATCACACATGGGATGCAGAGATTTGCATGTAAAGCTGAAGCTGCACATCAACATTCACACAAAGAACTTCGACTTTCTGATGCATTTGAGTAAGAGAGGGAAGATTTGATGGATCTCTCCTGACTGACTGCAAACTAGCCCCCAGAAATACACACTGATAATAGCTGGGTGTTGTGTAACATGTGTCATGACTGCTGGAGTTGTGAATAAAGAAGTGAGACTCGTATCTGACTGCAGCGTGTGGTTTAGTGGAAGTGCTTTAAGAGAAACACTTGACACCTCGTCGCGTTAATCTGCTTGCTCATCGGGAGGGTTGCACGTGTTTTGCAGAGCTGAGGATCTGATCCCCCCGGTGATCGGACAGCGGTGACCGGTGACAGGCCAGTGTTTGGCGACCCAGTTTCCCTGTGAGGAGTGTTGGGACGGGGGGGGGGGAGGGGGACGGGTGATCCTGCAGCCTCCCCCCCACTCACTCACTCTCCCTCTCTCTCTCTCTCTCTCTCTCTGACCCCGGGGCTCCAGCTACCAAATAGGGAAAGGTACGTGCTGCTCTCTCAAAATACCAACAACTGACCTTCCACATCTCTGCCCCTCCACAGCACCGACACACATCAGCCCTGACAATGCGACACTGGGCTGAGGACACTCGGATCCCGCACGTCCGGCGTGTCCCCCGTGACGTTGCGTGACAGTCCGCTGCTGCTCAGACCGGAGTAACGGGGCCAAAGAGCCGGTTTGTGTCGTTGTTATGAGGATCACCTACCATTTTATCACCCGCTGTTTTTGCCCAAGTTGATATCCAATTACCACCGGTGCGCATGCGCGAAATGAATGCGCTACTGTAGCGGCGCGGTGCTCGTGGGAAATGTAGTTCTGAGACGCTGCGAGCTCACAGGCCCAGTGGTGAAGATCTTACTTTAGCTTTCTGCATTTGTAGTAAACACTTTGGTCAAAAGACTTAATTTAATAGTGACTAACCGACCTATGATTGAAGAGTGATCATGCGTAAAAAGCTCGGGTATAACTAACACAGGTTTAATATTGGTTTGACCCAGTAAACTCTGTTAAACTAGTTTAATCAGCGTTGTTGTTTTTGAAAAATTAAACCACCTGATGTGTAACATCGTGTTCCAGTCAGATGAACCCGGTGACAGCTGCCGTTACTTCAACACACACCCAACGTCCGAAAACTACAACTCCCGATATCTAATCTGATAAACTTTAGGAAGTCATCTGTGCACGGATCTAAATTACATGGACGGATCCATGAAGAAACCAGGGCTTGTGACGATGAAGATGATGAAGATGATAATGACGATGATGACACGACTCTGTGAGGAGCTGTGTGCTCTCCATGCTAACGTTAGCTCACGAAGTTATGCTAGCAGCGGTGGTGTTGTGTTGTAATGTAAATAAGTGTGTGACAGCCCGGAGCTGAACCAGGACTAACTCCGCTTCGCTCTCACGACACACAGGCTGACCTCCGGACGCTCGGTTCAGCGGGGAAACAGCCACAGTTCCCCCCCGGGAGAAGTCTTAGCTCACCTGGGCGCTGGTGTCGTTAGCCTCCCCCGCCGCCGCTGCTGCTAGCGCTGACACCCGGAGTAAACACGGGAGTTGAGTCACCGGAGTGAACCGGTGAACGCCTGCATCGACTTCAGCAGCAGTTATGTGGCAGAGGAGGAGGAGGAGGGGAGTCACCGAGGCACAGCGACATGATTGTTCTCCTCTTCTTCTCCTTCTGCCTCTTCCTCAGCCCTGGAGCGGAGCGAGGAGCCGGGTCGCAGCGCGGATCTCTCAGGTAGCTCCAGCCTCCTCTGGAACTTTTCCTCCTCTGTCAGACATTGATTTCGATCCGTGGAGAGATGTCAGGGATCTGTGTTCGAGAGCGTCAGTTGTTTCCGGGTCTGTTCGCTGCGTGTGTTCAGTTTAGTGTGTTTTCGTTGCGTCTTCATTTGAAAGGTCTGTGCACGTTTATACACATGTGTGAGGTTTAGGGAAGAAAACACATTATTGTACAGTTTTAGTTGATTGTTGTCATTTATTTGGATTTTAAACTTGTGCTCCATATTCCAGACAAATATTACACTTTTTTTTTACCAGCACAACAACCAACGATTATATCATGAAAGATCAATCTGCTGATTGCTTTATATATAATTAACCGTCTAGTCTATACAATACCTGAAAATAGTTATTCGATCTGTTATTATCTGTTATTATTATTGTTTGTAGAATTGTAACTAGAGTTAATAGAGGATACCCAATTATAAATGACATCTCTGGATGTTTTTTTGCAATATATAATAATAAATATTATATATTTATGTAAGCATCACATCCTCACATTAATGAAGTTAGAAACAGTTTCACAGTTTTACTTAAGATTCAATAATTAAAATGGCAAACAGTCTTTCTACTGATTGATATTGATTAATCCAATAATTGTTACAGCTCTAATTTTCTTGATCTGGCCCAATGTGACGTAATTAAATGTCTTATCTTGTCCAAATTCTCACATGTGAGATCCAAGAGTCATCAAATGATCTGCATTTTTGTTTGAAAAAATACTAATACTGACTATTCATTTTTCTTTAATCAACTAATCTAGCATTACTGCTGCTTGACATTTTACACATTTCTACAACTATAGTTAGTTTTCAGATTAAGTTTGTATGTGCACGTCTGTTTTAAGATCAGCATTGTGACACACTGCGATTGATCAAATCACCCAACAGCGAATGAAACACCACCCTAACAAACTAACATGATTTAAAGTACATTTTACATGTTAATGCATCAATATGTTCACATTACAGGGGTCACTCTACAGAAAGTGTAATCGTAGCTGTGACACTACATGTAACTTCCTGAGGTTTCACTTGAGTAAATTCAGGATGCAGGATGTTTACTTTTGTTGGAGTGTTTTCTATTATCTTGTATCCTTACTTGTACTCCTACTGGAGCAGATGTTTGGGCTCGTACAACAGCTTTGTTCAAGGCGAAATTTGCAAGTTTTTGTAATTTAGTTAAAATGTGTCTGCTCTCAAATTTAATAGGTTGAAATAAGATTCGATACAATTTAAAACCTTTTAAAATTGAAGGAACTGAGGTTATGTGTCTGTCTGTGTGTGTGTGTGTGTGTGTGTGTGTGTGTGTGTGTGTGTGTGTGTGTGTGTTTGCTCTTTTCAGTAGCCAGGTCCCAAACAGAGGTGCTATTGATTTCTAGCAACAGTAGCAGAGTGGCTGCAGTCCAGGAAGACGGACAGAGGAGGAGTTTGGAAAGTTAACATCATCATCACTCAGCCGGACTCATGCTCACAAAGGTCCAGACCAGCTTGGTTATAAATTCACTATATATGTTTGGTGTACAAAAAGATTCATGTGTAACCAAGAAGCACTTTCTTTAATCGGCACAGCTCTTAGACTTTTGAATTCCAAGCATGGGAATCAAGTACGACAGGAATTTAGACACATGACGTGCACAGTCAAGTGAAGTGGCCCTACCGCAACTCTACAAGGTGCTGTTAACCACTCACAGCACAGGCCACAGGCGTGTGTCCACAGCTGTTGTTTAAGCTATTCAGCAGTAACCACACCCAGCCCAAAGACTAAAGCCTCTCTGGAAATGTCTCACAAACACAAAAGCACACAGTGGCCCACATAAAAGAGATTTTCTGTACGAAGCCTTCTGTGTAACACGAAAAGGACAAGTTACCATCTGTGCTTTAAAGGGTACAAAGGGAATTTACTGTATTCCTACATTTTTACTTTTTTACTTCAGACTGTAATTTGTCTCGCTCTGTCTTATCCACCCCCAGGTCTATTCTTCTTGATCACTCTCCACACTGGGGAAGGCAGTAGTAGAGGTTTGGATGCAGGTTGTATATTGGCTGCTGTGCCTTGGCCTGGCAGGTGCAGCTGCTGTGCTGCAGAGGGACCAGGTGGCCCAGAATGCCATCCACCTTTACCGGAGCAAGGGGGTCCAACAGGGCCACAGCTGGCTGGCCAGCAACTGCAAGCGTCTGGTGGGTCTCCTGCGTCAGAAGAATGTGGTTGTCAAGAAGCTGGCCGCCGCTGCCGATGCTGTTGGAAGAGACCGGGCGCTGTCGGAGTCCGAGAGGCACTTCCAGGTACCAGACTGAGAATAAACACCAGATGCAGGAAAGGGCCTTTGTTTTGAGTAGAAGTTTGTGACTGTATATTTATTTTTTACATCTTTTTTTTTATCACACTCTTGTACGGTACATAATGTGTGGCACATAAAGTCAGCAGCTCCTCTGGGTGGTGTCTTTCTTGTTTTACATACTGTCGACACAATAACTCAACTACAGTTCAAGTTCTTATTTCATACTGACGGCTCTCAGAGTAGTTTAGAGTTACATTAATGTGTAATTATTTTTGAGATTATTCAATTAAATCAAACAGTACATTCTCACACTGGAGAACCTGTGACTGTAAAGATAAATAAATGAGTTCAGAATTGTTGCTGATTCTTTCAATTGATTAATTGATTAATTAATTCAGTTGCGGTTTAGATAATAGCCGGATTCAAGGCAAGTCAGCTTCTTCTTAATTGCTACAAAAAAACTTGAAGCCAGATTAAATGGATCTGGGTCATGAGTGTTCCCTGGAACTATTTTAAACGACTAAAACTGCTCTTATCAACTGCTCCAAAATAAAGACCGTACCCAGAGGCTTAAGTAAAAGAGGATGTTGCATACTCTACAGCTTAATTACTGATTGGTGTTTCTCTCTATCTGCATTCAGGTTCACACTCTGGAGGTTTTCCAGAAAGAGCTGAATGAGAGTGAACACCTGGTGTTCCAGGCGGTGCACAGCCTACAGAGGGCGCTGCAGGGCGACTACAGGGACGTGGTGAACATGAAGGAGAGCAGCAGACAGAGGCTGGAGGCCCTCAGGGAGGCGGCCATTAAGGTGAGGGGTGAGGTCAGCAGTGTTGTCATGGACACTGTCAGGAGACTGGTATAAACTGTGTTCTGTCAGTCGAAATGAAGAGTTTTCTCATTTAAAACATTTTGATATACAACGTCAGACAAATACAAATTTAAACTATATCACCAAGCCCTGTATCAAAGAAAGAGTAATATCATCTATAATATTATGCTTTATATCCTTGGTGTTTGTTCAGTTTGTGTTACCTTGGTTTGCTAAATGCATGTTGCTGTAACGTCCTTGCTACAACCTACTCGTGTTGAGCATTGTTTCCCCCCCCCCCCCTTTCAGGAGGAGCAGGAGTATGTGGAGCTGGTGGCCGCTGAGAAGCACCAGATGGAGGCTGTTAAGAGTGCTTTAGCCCAGAACAAGACTCTGTCCATGCTAGATGAAATCCTGGAGGATGTCCGGAAGGCAGCAGACAGACTGGAGGAGGAGATCGAGGAGCACGCCTTTGACAACAACAAACAGGTCAGGAAGCAAAACCATTCATTAAACAAGATTACACTTGGTAAATAACTAGTCAGGATGCTAGAATCAGCACAAAAATAAAATAGAGTTGGCCCAAGCTTTTATACATCACACAATAAATGTAGTGGTTTAGGTTTTATCCAAGTCCAAGTGTAAGAACTATTCAGATGGCAGTTCATCACACATGTTATCAACAAAGCATCTGATTGTGTCCTTTCTTACTCTGGTTTTTGTGTCTAGATGAAAGGAGTGAACGTAGAGGCAGTGCTGAGAGTGGAGGACGATGAGGAGAACGGAGGGAAGAGGAAAAACAAGTCCAGGCCGAAGGAAGTGGAGGACGACCTGGGACTGAGCATGCTCATCGATTCGCAGAACAACCAGTACGTTCTGACTAAACCACGAGATTCCACGATGCCGAGAGCTGACCACCACTTCATCAAGGTCAGTCACTCCTGTTTCATTCAGGCTATAGGTGAGAAAACTGATTTATTATTTAATCATGGTTAGAGTCGGACAGTTCTACGTGTTTAATACTATTTAACCTTTTTGTTGCTATGTGTTTGTGCAGGACTTGGTGACGGTGGTGATGTTGTCTTTACCTTGTGGCTGGATTTGCTCTTTAGTCGGTCTGCCTCCAATGTTCGGATATATCATCTGTGGGGTCCTGCTCGGTCCTTCTGGCCTCAACAGTATCAAGGTGAGTGTGACTGAAGTGTCTGAATATAAGACCAGTCTGAAGTTACTCTGGTGTAAGTTGTTGATGTCATTATCTCACTCTCTGTTCCAGTCGATGGTGCAGGTGGAGACTCTTGGGGAGCTGGGGGTGTTCTTCACTCTCTTTGTGGTGGGGCTGGAGTTCTCACCTGAGCGCCTTCAAAAGGTAAACAAAAGGGATTTACGAGGAATTTAAAAAGACCCAACATAACACAAAAATACTTTTTTTTGTGTGTCTCTTTTCTCTCTTGTTCTCATTAAATTAGGTTTTGAATCTCAATTTTCTGGTAGATATGGGAATCGTTTTAATGTTTCAACCCAAAAAAGTGGCAAAAAAAACTTTCATCGAAATACTTTAATTCCCTGAAGGAACTTTTAAGTATATATACCTGCTTTTAGTTACTTAGTTCAATAAAGTGGATTTGTAATGTGTGTGTGCTTGTGTAGGTATGGAAGACGTCAGTTCAGGGGTCGTGCTACCTGAGTCTGCTGATGATAGGGGCCGGTTTGTTGTGGGGACAAGTCCTGCGTATTCGACCCACACAGACGGTCTTCATCTCCACCTGTCTGTCCCTGTCCAGCACTCCACTTGTGTCCCGCTTCCTTGCAGGAGGAAGCAGAGGGGACAAAGAAGGTAATCAACATACACTATGAATCAAAAGTGTTGGAATGTTGTCATTTTTCCAGTTTTAATTGAAATGAAGGCACTTAAAGAGTACTGCTTCCTGTGGTAAGAAAGTAGAATAGTTTACTTTTTGTCAAAGGCCACATTCAGGGACACATTACAAATGAAAGACCAGTCAATTGGGTACAGAAGTTGGGCACTCAATTGGGGAAAAAGATGACTTTGGGTTAGTTAAGGTTAAGGCTTGTTTATGCTACCTTTATGCATGATTTCCACTTCGTCATTTTAATCCGTATTCATAAGCTTTCAGAGGACATCAGCATATTCGTAAAAAAATAACAAAGACTAAAGACAGAAGGCTCTGTCCATTTTCATATATGACATTGAGCATAAATGAGCCTTAAGGGTTGGAAATTAATGTTTAATGTGTGTGTGTGTGTGTGTGTGTGTGTGTGTGTGTGTGTGTGTGTGTGTGTGTGTGTGTGTGTGTGTGTGTGTGTGTGTGTGAGACAGGCGACTCAGACTACAGCAGTGTTCTTCTTGGGATGTTGGTGATGCAGGATGTTCAGCTCGGCCTCTTCATCGCTGTTATGCCGACTCTGATCCAGGCACAGAGTGGAGACCTGGACAGGTCAGTTAGCTTTTTTTGCTCTTGCGTGTGTCATCTCCCCTCTAATCACACACACACAGCTTTGTAAACCCATTGTAAAATCTGCTCTGCACCACAGCCTCCTATTTGGAAGCCTCCGCGTGCTGTACCTCCTGCTCCAGGTCCTGGTGTCTCTGGCTGCCGTGCTGCTGCTGTGTTTGCTGCTCAAATCATTCGTGATTGGTCCGTATTACAAGAAACTGCACGCTGAGAGCAAAGGCAACAAGGAGATCCTGGTGCTTGGGATGGCAGCGTTTGTCTTTTTCATGCTGACGGTATGATCTTTTCTTCAGATGTCCTGAATTCCTTTTACAGACATCTGATTTGATTTTCTTTCTCCTCCTCACGTGTTCCCTAGGTAACAGAGTTTCTCGACATTTCTATGGAGCTGGGCTGTTTCCTGGCTGGAGCTTTGCTGTCCACACAGGGTCACATGGTCACCACAGAGGTCACAGGATGCATCGAGCCAATCAGGGATTTCCTCGCCATCATCTTCTTTGCCTCTATTGGTCAGAACCTACATAAACATTTATGACCGATCGTACTTTCATCATCGTGTTAGACTTTTGCAGCATTTACAGTGAAACTGGCTCATTGTGTGTGTGTGTTTGTGACGCTGCAGGTCTCCACGTGTTCCCGACATTCGTGCTGTATGAGCTCACCATCCTGCTGGTGCTTACATTCACCCTCGTCATCATGAAGGTACCAATTGTTTGTCGCTTTTGCTCTTTACCTTTCCCAGAGTGCACCTTGACGCAATCTCACTCCATCCCGTTTCTCCTTTACCCCTCATGTCCTTCCAGTTTGTCATGGCCGTGCTGGTGCTCTCTGCTATCTTGCCTCCGGGCTCTCGACACATTCGATGGATCGTCTCAGCCGGCCTTGCACAGGTCAGCGAATTCTCCTTCGTCCTGAGCAGCCGTGCACGTCGAGCTGGCATCATCTCCAGAGAGGTCAGTCATTGCTTTTTTTTATCAAGTGTTGAAAGATATTTTACCCCAGAAAAAAGAAGCTGAAATTATTGGTCATGTTTATCATGAATGAGTGTCCGTAGCTTTGACGAGAGGATCAATGGGAGGGGGTGGTGTCATGTATAGGTTGCATTTTTTTAAGTGTTACCTGCTCTTGCTAGGTTTCCTGTGTTTTAATGTGTCTCCCACCGCTCAGGTGTACCTGTTGGTTCTCAGTGTCACCACTCTCAGTTTGCTGCTGGCTCCGGTGCTGTGGAAAGTAACCACACACAGATGGGTTCCCCGGGCCGAGCTCAAAACAGTCCCATGACCAGAGAGCGCCCTCAGGGCCGCAGCAGCCCCTGTGTGCACTGACTGTTACACAGCCGGCAGCAGCGTCATGAGGAGCAGAAGTCAAGTCTTATTTGTCCATTCATGCTAATGCACACACGGATATGATGCAGACTGTTTTCTTGATTCAGCAGTCTCAGCCCTCTTCATGCAGAGGAAGGATCTTCATCAGCTCCATTCTGGCATTGTTATGAAGGACATCTTCTCCAAACATGGGCCTGGAGCTGTGTTACATGTACACTAGGTTATGAAAGCGAACTGCATGAGGTCTTATTTGAAACACATAACATGTAGTTTTAGGTTGTATTAATGAAACCCTTTACTCTTCAGTCAACAACCCTGAAGCTGGGACAGAGTCTGTGGCATAAAAAAGTCCTGCTTGGGAGGCACAGCTGATTTACATGTTTAGTAGAGAAGCACAAAGAACTGGATATCCATCCAGCTCTGATGCTTCTAATGCACTTCCTCTTAAAACTGTGCACACTCATTCACGTTTGCACTTTGAGCCTCAAGTTTGCCTCTGTTTACTTGTAGTGATCACATGGACCAAATCTGAGGTTTAAACTCTATATGGTGTTTTTCTTTTTATGTGTTGCTATATTTCCTTGAAATGATTCTGATTGAAGTGCGAACCTTCTCCCTGCTGTATTTGATACACGATACATGTAGTTTAATCCTGATCCTGAAGTCTATCCATCCCGGTGTGATACCTAAAAACTGCAGTAACTCTTTTTTACAAATCTCTCATTTTAGTTGAAAATCATGGTACCTATTGTATCAGTACAAAATTAATCAATGTAAATATATCAGACAGTACCTCACAAAAACTTTTAAAATCATGTGAATTCATTCATTTGCGGTCCTGCACTGGTTACAGCTGAATGTCATAACGAATGTGCCTGCTGGTCACTCCTCTGCAGCAGCAGAAGAAAGACTGTAGGGGGAGTCATCTCACTGTACATGTCCTTGTCTTAGGATTCATAATGTGTAATGTTAATGTGTGTTACGCTACCACATGTTACAATTTAATGTTTTCTGATATTTTCCTGCAGTACATTAATATTGAGGGTATTTGAGTTTACATGTGTGTACTGGAGTTGATGACTGACGCTCCATGGCACAATGACATGTTTCAATCAAAATGTTTATGTATTTTTAAATTATTGAAATTAAGTCATTTATTTATTAATAAAATAGTGGAAAAGTATTTTCTCTCTTTGACACTTCTTTGTTCTGTTCTTTGCATGCAGAATTTTCTTTGGGGAAATTATAATTATTTGTGTAGCTGGAGAGATAATTTCATGATAAATATCATCAGATGTTCTCTACAGGCTCTGTCAACACATGAACTCAGCATGGCCGCCTGACATGGTGAGCTGAGGGCCTGCTACTGTGGCTCAGCCTCCCCTTATTAACATTAGCAATTTTTTCTTTTGTGTATTTCTTTTCTTTACCGGCCCTCAGATGGGCTTGATAAATGAGAACTGCTGTAAGTCATTGGCACATGAAAAAAGATTATGGTGATTATAATTAATTGACTCCTCAAACTGAAACAGAATTTGCTCATCGTAATCGTCTGAGAGGCTCCTGATTTGTTGGGCTTGGCCAGTGTCTCGTGGTTTCTTTGAGTTGCATTAAGCTAATGAGCACCAAAGATGATTCACCAGAATTCATAAGAGAAAATAAAATCGGAAATTTATAAAATAAATGTATTTATTTCTCTTTCTCATCCCTTGTGTAAATATTTAATAAGCTCTTATTTAAGTTTTCGCTGCACAACTGTGTGTGTGTGTGTGTGGTCCAGGTATTGCTTATGTTGTGGGGACAAAAGCAAGTAATGTAAATCATTACACTTCAAGGTGAAAACATGTTTTAAGGTTAGGTTTAGGCAAGTAGTATCCTCACCGTAATGTTATGTCCTCTGAAGTTATGAAGGCATGACCATGTGTGTGTGTGTTTGCGTGTGCATGTGTGTGTGCGTGCAAGTGTACATCTGAACTGTGTAAGCTGATAACCTTCAGACTGCAGTCAGCAGATTTATGAGAAACCTTATCACCACCATCATCCTATTAGTGAGGATACAAATACAAATACACTACACACTGTGCTTAAGCAGATTTTTAGAGCTTCATCCTTCTGATGTTGAGGATTTTGCCTAAAACTTGAACTGCTGTTAAAACACTGATGACACCAAACTGAAGTAGGATTTAATTTTTATTTAGAAATATTATTATTTTGTTTAGATACACTTGGCATGGCTAATTAACCTCAAGAATCTCGTCATAATTACGCCACTTGAGTTGTCCTCATATATCCTTTAGGTTTATAGATGTAGGCAAAATCTAAACATGAGTACACAAAGAAGTTCATGAATCATACATGACAAATCACTTGAAAATAAAAGCACCACACAGCACAGGGATTAAAGTGTGGCTGCAGTGTTGCGTGAAGTTTAGGACAAGTGGTTTGAAGGTTGTTGATGTGTGGACACCTTCTCTGTCTGTGATGCTGACAAGTGACATGATTGTGAGATATCAGAGTATTTTCTCCTCTGTTTCTCATTTCACTGCTTTGAGGGTGAAGACGACTTTTCCCTCGTAGGGGTCGTGGTAGTTTTCGTAGCTGATCTTGTCGGAGACCACTCTGCACTGGATCATGGCTTCCTTCTCTCCCACCAGGTTAAAACGAACGGCCACCAACGGGTTGACATATGTAGGCTGAGGAAAAGGAGGAAGGAAGCAGTGCAGAGAAATTATTATTTATACGCAGTTTGTACGTTTATTAAATTTACTTTATTTAAGAATATGCAACATGTTTAGGCCAATATTATATAACAATGGGGGACAGGGGGCTGCTGCAATACTTGCAAACTTTTCCCAACCTTGTATGCACCACAGAGTTGTTTTCTGACATGCAATACGCACAGTGACTGTGGGATGTGTGGTTTTCTTGCTTACCTGTGCCAGTCTTCCATAATAAGGGAAGTAGGAGCGATCCATAATACCTCTGTCAGGGAAATACTCAATTTTTGCCACATTCTCATGTCCATCCTGTAAAAATTGACAAAAAATATGTTTATTTAAAGAGGCGCTCATTAAAATATTGTTTACTTTCTCCTCCTGCAACAACTGCTGTGTCATGTCTAATGCTATTTAGAGACAGCTCATTTATAATTGGTTTGAAAGAGGGTGTTGATGTTTACTGGGCACAGAGGGGTTCTAATGACAAAATGCATTAAGGGAAGAAGAGTGTTTCGGAGCTTGACCTGCATAAAACTCAGCTCTCAGTCAAATCTTTGTCTCCTCTGCATTGATCATTACCTCCGTTAAGGAGGTTGTATTCCTTCCTGTCCATTAGTTTGTTGCTTTTTTTTGTTTGTAAGTAAAAGTATGCAAAAACTAGTGGAGTGATTTCCACAAAACTCGATCAAAGAATGAGATATGGGTCAGGGAAGAACTCATATAATCTGGATAATGGGACAAGTCCAGGAATTTGACTTAAACGTTATTAGGTAGAGCTTTGTTTTTTGACATTTGGAATAAGTTATGGACCTTGATGAAAACAATTAGGCATATTAGGGGAACTGATATCTATGAATGTGTGAAATTTGGTGCAGCTTGATTTAATAGGATTTAAGGTGACTTTTGCAAACCTTGCAATATTGTAAATCACTGGCTTACTCATTCAAATAAAATACAATACTTCAGCCTCATTTTCTTTACATGCTGATACATTCAGCACAAGCAGGTGTTTCTCACCAGTATCGTACAGTTGACATAAAGGGGATGGTCGGTGCTATTAGATGGCAAAAAGTTAATGATCTGCAGAGAAGAAACAGAAGAAGTACTTTTAGTCATTGTAATTGAATGTGATCTCTACTTTTTTTTTAATGTCCAGGTTTCCCCACAGAGCTCAGATGGATGTTCATTATTAATACAACTCACCCTGTTCATCTTAATGACGACACAAGGCATGGTGCAGTTGTAGCCAAAGGTCGGGTCCTCGTGTCCGGAGCAAGGTCCCAGCATGCTTCTGGTGAAGGGACATGCCCACTTTGTGTGGTGAGGGGCAGAGAAGGTGTTCTGGATGAAGTACTTTCCCTTGGTGCAGTTGTAGTTGTTACATTCATGTTGTGCGGTGTCATTATAGGCTGAAGGAAAAAGAGAGAAAGATTTACAGAGCGTTCATTTGCCACCTGTCTGTTAGTTTGCAAGATTATGTTTAACTACAGGATGGATTAAAACAAGACTTGTAGGAAGGATGCAGTGTTGGTCAGAGAGGAGCCCATTCAATTTTGATGTGGATCCAGATCAGGGAGTGGATACAGGAATTTTTTTAAACATTGCAAGATTTTTCAACATTTTCATTGATTTCTCAAAGAAGAATTCATGGATCTTGAGAAAAAAATCAGGCATGATCAGGAGACTGATATTTATGAGTGACCAAATAAAAACTAAAGAAAGTATTAGATAGTTGTCTGGTAAATAAATACTAACGCTCCAGGAACTTATTAAGGATGTTAGTCATCTTCATCCAGCTGGCCTTGTCTGATGTGTTGTAGTTGATCTCAACCTTCTCCTCTCCGTAAGTGTCCGGCCACACCATCACCCCTGAGCAAGTAAGCAGAGAGGTGATTAAGAAGAGCTTGAGTTTTTTATTGTCGGGCCTCCTTGTTGTTGTTGTTGTTGTTTTACCTGGTGATTTTAGCCGGTCTTGGTAGTCAGGTGCGTACGGATCCAAAGTGTACATGAGCACATAAATGGCCAAAGAAAAGAGGCCCGTCATCACCACGTAGAACGCTGCGTAATACAGGCTGATGTACACTGTGAAGGAGAGAGAAAGATGCAGAGTGAACAGAATATTGTACAGTAAAATGTGGGGGGGGTAAATCATTCCTCTAACTACAGTAGCAAGACAGTTACAGAGAAAACGCCATTTTTAGTGTGATCACAAAGGTTTGTGTCGTTATTTCCGGAGGTCAAGGTGTCCTCTGTCAACGTGAGGTGAATTTAATCTGTGAGATCAAACAGAGAATAAACAAAGCTTATCTCACGACACCAGCCTTATCTCTCCCCGTCCACATGCTGCAAACATACAAGTCGCTGTGGTGATTTTTAAAAGGACAGAAAATTCACACACACAATAAAATCACAGTAGTTTAGAGTGAATTAATTACTTTAGGGTTAGTATGGAGATCCATAACTCAAAGGATATACAGCTCATTCAGCCGTCTTGTTTTAAGACACAATACTCAAGGAATCTTTCCTTTAATTTGACCAGATATTTACACCTTTGGGAAAAACTGGTGATGGTAAAGTTCAATTTCATGTGTTCCAGATGAGCATAATTATATTTGACACTGTCTCTTCTATCGATTCAACTTGTGTCTTCAAGAGTTGTTATTATTGTTATTTATTCCTATGATTTCATTCCTACCCCATCTCACTGGTGTCCTCCCCATAAATGTCCCATTGTCTGAGTTCCAGACAAAACGGCCAAAGTCTTCACATCGCTGCCCACAGGTCCTCTTCTCCTTCAAGGTGGCCATGATGACGCTCTGTGCTGACCAGGATCCACTGACGACCTTCTCTTTCCTTTATTCTACCCTTTACTTCTCTTCTTCCTTCCTTCAGTCAAGATTCAAACAGTAATAATTGTTTCCTCCTCTCTCCCCAAAGACTGTGAGGCCCTACCAGGTGTGTGCTGTCCGTCTTGTCCCGTTTCACTCTCTACCTCAGTAAAAGCTAAATCGGAATCCCTGGATGTCGCTCCAGAGTGTGATGCATGTGTTATCTGACATTCCACTATTTATAAGGCCTTGATAAAAGCGGGCGTGCAGTGGGTAGTGAAGTAGAGGTGGGCCAACGTAGAAACTGGTGAACTTCCTTCTCCATTGACGTCCTTTACTCCGTACATCAGGATCACCTTGAACAGCCAGCGTACTGAAACCCACTATACTAAGTACTAAGTGCATGCTAGCATGTTAACATTGGTTTATTAGCAATTGACATAAAGTGCAGTTGAGGCTAGGGGGGATGTCAGACGTTTTGCAGGGTAGTTTTTCACTAACATCCGCCAACATCAACTGGTGGGGGGCATCAATTAGTGCGGTAGAACATACTAGGGATATTCTCAGTCTTGTCCTATGTTCTAAAATGGGACAGTGTGTAGTTTAAAAAGACATAGAGGTAATGATGTCTGATCTACTGAGTGGCCACATGGCTTACATAGTACTGCCTTACAGGCAAGTAGCCAGTCAGATTTACCTTTATCCTCAGTGTACCCTCAAACCTGCTAACATCTACTTTTAGTTGGTAACTTAAATTGTGCAAAGGACCTTCAAACATACAAGGGCTATTCACCACCAAGTCCAAAAGCCAGAAATAACATCAAAACCTATTTCAAATATAGTTTCCAAAGGACTAATTAAGACCAGAAAAGCACAAGATAAATTCTGAGTGGAAGCATGATGTTAACTCCTGTGAACACTTTCTGCTTTTTTCTCATTTCTCTCTGTAACTGTAGCTATTGTGTCACTTTCTGTGCGAACGTCACTGCATTCCTGTCATTACCATCCCACTACATGCCAGCGCATCTATCCCTCTCCTCCCTCTCTTCATCGTGTGCCATCACTTCACTCTCTTCTATGTCTGCAGCGCACACATGGGTCAGCACAGGATAAAGCATTACAGAGATACAGAATGGATAAATCCCCTTGTGGAAAGATTATGAGTCAGGAGGATCTGCATGTGTGTCTGCATGTGGGTGAGAGGAAAGAGAGGGACACTGCGGGAGATGGTGTGCTCTTTGTGGGTGTCTGTAGCGAGCAGGTGGTGGTATGTATGATACATCTTCTTCTAAATCATTGGAGGAAGAAGAAATCCATATCCCATCTGATTCATCAGCTGCTATAGTCAACTTCTTTTTGCTATCTCCTCTTCTATACTTTATCTCGTAGTACCTTTTTTCTGTAGCTTTCAGGCCATCTTTCACATTTTTAAAGTCCCTCCTCACTTTTCCACTGTGTCATCATGGATATTGGTGGCCTGACGACAGTGGTGGCCAACTCTGCCTACATCTCAGCCCGTGGGAGCGTGGATGGCACAGCCAACCCTGCATCCAATCGAGATAAGAAGTACCACTCCCGCCTGAAGCTGCCCCACATCACAGTGTGCGAGGGTCTGCGCGAGACTTTAGACCTGGGCTTCCAGACGGTTTGTGTTGAGCAGCCCATCGGTAAACGTCTCTTCCGAGAGTTCCTAGACTCCAACAATGAGTATAAAGGTCCCTGCCGTCTGTGGAAGGATATCGAGGAGTACAACATGGCTGAGGATGAGGATCGTGTACAGAAAGCAAGCAAGATGTTGTCCCGGTACATGGAGCCTGGAGCCAAGTATTTCTGCCCCTTCCTGCCAGAGAACAGCATCACAAAGGTCAAAGAGAAACATCAGGAGGCTGGGGACGATCTTTTCAATGAAACCATGGACAATGTGATGGACTTCCTCAAGGAAGTGCCCTACACCTTCTTCCTGGAGAGCATGTATCTGAAGAGGTTTCTGCAGTGGAAGTGGCTGGAGATGCAGCCCATGGGAGAGGACTGGTTCTTGGATTTTCGTGTGTTGGGGAAAGGGGGTTTTGGGGAAGTGTCTGCCTGTCAGATGAAGGCCACTGGGAAACTGTATGCCTGCAAGAAGCTCAACAAGAAGAGGCTGAAGAAGAGGAAAGGCTATGAGGTAAGTAAGACGTTTATGAAAAGTACTTCCATAGAGGCAGATTGAGTTTATATAAAGTATCTTTGTAATTGTTCCCTTTAAACACCTGTCAATAACTAGATTGAGACTTGCCGACAACATTAGGGCATCTCATATGATTAGTGCCCTCAGCTTTAGAACATTTCGATTTACTTATAAAATGCCAAACTTGCCGTGTTTATAAGTGGAGTAGCTGTCTTCACTTGATATGTCTAATATTATCTACCTCTGTGGTTACCTCTGCCAAGGAGGTTATGTTTTCACCCCTGTGTGTTTGGTTGGTTTGTTTGTAACCCAGATAACACAAAAACAACCCAACAGATTTCCACGAAACTGTGTTGAAAGATGAGGTGTTGGAGGAACCCATTAAATTTTTTTGCAGGTCTGTTTCATTTTCTGTAACGTTGCAATATATGGCATCTTTTGCCATTTGCGCCATTTTCCAGGTAACATTTCATGGAAAATAATTAAGGAAATGTGCATGTATGGTGCATCTTGAATGAATTTAAGAAAACTGTTGGGGGTGGAGGTACAATGGCACACACTCAGTACAGCAAATACCTCCGCCGAGGCCCAATAGTCCAACCAACAAGTGGCAAGACATTTTGGCTTCACTTTTGGGGAGTAGTCATGTCCTCCATCTTTATATACAGTCTATGGTACAGACAGTATTGTTGTGAATCATTATTGTGGTCAATAAAGATGAAACTAGCGTTGAGTGCTTTAAACATTACAAGTATTTACTCATACCACTGTCTCTTCCTGTCCTGTAGGGGGCGATGGTAGAGAAGAGGATCTTGGCTCGAGTTCACAGCAGGTTCATTGTTTCTTTGTCCTACGCCTTCCAGTCGAAAACTGAGCTGTGTCTGGTCATGACCATCATGAATGGAGGAGACCTGAGGTAAGACGTCAGGCTCTCACTTGGTAACATCCTGAAATGGGGACAAATACCTGTTGCATGGTTTGTTTTATTCAGTTTAATAATCCACCACCTTAATGTATTAAATTACAGTCATATATGGCGAAACCCATCAATAATTTCAGAGACTGGAACCAAGAGATGTTTGGTGTTTTTGCTTGGAAATGAACTGAACTTACCAGTTAACCGATGATGGTTGCTGTGCATAGGGAGCTACATAAGTGTATTGCCTCTATCTCTTTAGAAAGGGGAAAGAGTTTGTGTAAAAGAAATGTGTGTCACCACCCTGTGTCTCTCTTACTGTATCTCCAGGTTTCACATTTATAACGTGGATGAAAACAACCCAGGGTTTGACGAGCCAAGGTCCTGCTACTACGCAGCTCAGATCATCCAGGGCCTGGAGCACCTCCACCAGAAGAGGATCATCTACAGGGACCTCAAACCAGAGAATGTGCTGCTGGATAGTCACGGTCAGAAAGTCACGTACGCCATAGATAGAGTCTTCAGTGTTCTAGGTTTCTCACTATTGTATATAACCTCACAGATGAGGCCCATTTCCAAAGTTAAAGGTAATTAATGCATTCAAGAGACCATATGTGGGTCAATTTGGGATGTTTGTACTTCCGTCTATTATTTAAAACGATGCAATGTTTAGTTAAAACATTAATTCGACATTTGAATAAGAGTTGAAAGATTGGTGCCAAGACATGTTTAGCTTAGCTAAATGTTACAATCATGATTGGAAGTAAGGACAAGCATGTGTCCTAGCTCCAGCTCAGCTAAGTGAACAAACAATAAATCAGTGTGTTACCAAGTGATTTTTTTGAAGTTGGTAAAGATTTTTAATTTTTATTGTCCAAAAGGATCAACCAATTTATTTTACTGTTATTAAACCGTAACCTCTCACTTGGATCCTGAGATCCAACACACACACACACACACACACACACACACACACACACACACACACACTAAACCCCCTACAGTACACTTCGTGTCTTACATACAAGGACATCTTTGGGTTATCACTCTACTACAGGTTAATGAGTGGGGGACGTTGTGAGCAGGTCAACATTGGTATCTGTGACGTGCACAGCTCTTGACATTGCTGTGGTGTTTGCTCTCACAGGTAACGTACGTATCTCTGACCTTGGTCTGGCCGTGGAGCTCGCAGACGATCAGTTCAAAATCAAAGGCTACGCTGGGACACCAGGTACAATCCACGGCTCACATTTACCTGGTGACAGTTGTTCCCACAGCTGTGAGCCCCACCACACCCACAAAGACAAAGCTCCACAGTGTCTATCCTCCTCACTCTGTAGTTATACCTGATATTTATTTTACTTCTCTTATCTCTGTGTCCTGACTGAATGTGTTCTCTATAACAGAGCATATGACCAGGCTCATATTAGTATTAACAGTTTAAAGACAGAATATACAAAGAATACATGTAGAACTGTTGTTAAAAGTTTTCATGTTAGCGCTGACTGTCCTCAGACTTTGCTCAGACAAAGGTTATATCGACAAATTATGAATAAAAAAAAAAAAAGGTTTGATGTTAACTGAATTTCTTTGCTCAGTTGCTTTGTGTTGGCGACAGACTTGGTGTCTACATCAGGTGGTGTAATCTCATCACATTTTGTATCCTAATACTACAATAGTACTACTATTAATAGTGGTGCTACTATATAGTTGATAGTTAAAAACAGTTTAAAATGGACATTTCATCTTATCTACTGTCACCTGCAGGTTTCATGGCTCCAGAGTTGCTGAAAGGAGAAGAGTACGATTACTCTGTAGATTATTTCACTCTGGGCGTCACTCTGTATGAGTTCCTGGCTGCCAAAGGACCGTTCAGGACCCGAGGAGAGAAGGTAAGTGTTGAATAAAAATGTGTTTGTTGTTTATTCTGGCTGCAGTCTCTGTGCCTCTTTCCTCTTTTAATGCTCCACTGTCATATAATGTGATATAACTGGCTTTTATTAGATTGTATAGCTCAGTGTCACCTCCCTGTGGCTTGATGCTTATACTGCCATGAAATATGAAGCACTCATGTTAATTCAAACAGATTTTACTCCATTAAGTCCATATAATCACTATAGATATTTACTTTATCAAGGATTCATAGTTGCACTGGTGTGAATATTCAGATGATCTTGCATGAACATTAACTCCCCTGCATGTGCTGCAAAAATATAAGCTAACAACTTAATTTCTGCTGCATTGACAGACACTTACATGTTAGGAATTAACAGATATATATTTAGTTGAAATATTCTCTGCTGCTTGCAGGTGGAGAACAAAGTGGTGAAGAAGCGGATCCTGAATGAAACTGTAATGTATCCTGAGAAGTTCAGTGAGAACGCTCGCTCCATCTGTGAGGGTCTGCTGAGCAAAGAGGTCGACAAGAGGCTCGGCTTCAAGAACGGGTCATGTGATGAGCTCAGGGCGCATGCCTTCTTCAGCGAGATCCACTGGTGGAAACTGAACGCAGGTCAGTTACAGACAGAAGCAAATGTCAATACCAGTTACTGATTCTACAGTAATACACTGTTTAATATACATTCAATTCAATATTTTATTTGTATCGCACCAAATCGTAATATACATTGTCTCAAGGCACTTCACATAGAAAAAATGTAGAGAGAATAGAAATTCAATATAGAATTCAGTGCATTTTATGACTTTTCCAGACTTACATTGACCCTGTAGAGCTTTTAGAAGAATTTTATCTTATTTTATCTTAAAACTGCATCAGAGCTACGAATGTGTCGGCGACCAAATTTGTGTTTCGATCGTATTGATTGGAAACCGAGCTGAGTGGTTGTTGTTTTAATAAAACATATTTAATATAATGTGGTTTATAATGAATTTTGAGATACAAAAAAATTCTCATTTTGTTTCAAATAATTCAAATTCTTCAGAGGTGGTCATCTATGAGCCTGGTTATATAAGTGACACACAATCAAACTTGTTGGTGAGTATATGTGTGATGTGTTGTAAAGTATATAAATGAAGGCCCTGCACTAATAGCAGTCTTTGACTTCAGATGAGATATTAAGTATTTATGAGTCACTACTTCCTCCAAAGAAAATTGAAAATCTGGAAACTCCTCATCAAAATGTTTGACATTCTCATCATCATGTTCTTCCTCCTCAGGGAACCTTCCACCTCCTTTCGGGCCAGACCCTAAGACGGTTTATGCCAAGAACGTTGACGACGTCGGGGCCTTCTCCACAGTTAAAGGTGTCCACCTGGAGGACAAGGACATGGTTTTTTTCGATGAGTTTGCCTCAGGGAACATCTCCATCCCCTGGCAGGAGGAGATGATCGAGACAGGGATCTACGGCGAGCTCACAGTCTGGGGCCAGGATGGTGCTTTGCCCAATGACCTGCGCCGTGAATCCATCCTGGAGCAGCCGCCCAAGTCGTCCACCTGCGCGGTGTCATGAGAGGCTGCAGAACTGTATCAGTGAATCAGATTGTATTTCATGAGCACTTTTCATACAGTGTGTCAGGTTAGTGGTGGGTTTAAAGGAGAATACATTCATGTGTTTTTACCTCATTCATAACTGTTTAGCAAACTTTAACAACCTTCAACTTTTAGTGGTAAATGTTGGATTTTAGCAGACAGCTTCAATCTGGCACACTATGACTCACATTTTCTTTCATTATCATTTTGAGGTGTGAATGATCACTTTTCAAGGTCTTTAAGTGTGAATGAATTGTTTTCTCAACATTTCCTAACATTGAAGCCCAGCATACTGCAGATCTCTGGATTTGTTCAGCTGCCAGCAGCTCCCTGAGGCTCTCGTGTTCATGACTCTCTCAATCCCACGATGAAAACATATCTGTAAACTTCTCTACTGTGTTGTAACTGTTTCTCTGCTTTTATATATTGTTGCAGAGATTTTTATGAATTCATATTAAATGTTTTGTCATTAAAATCACACAGATTTACAGATTCCGTTGCTCCACCTACAGCCAGGCTTCATGCTAGATCTTAAATACACAAATTAGACAATATTGGATTAAAGCTGTGTAAATGACTGGTATATCAAGTGTTGGTCAATGGGGGGCGCTGTGAACTCATATTATCACTGATATCCCCCACATCAATGCTGCATCATCTGGAGCATAAAATAAATATAATAAATATGCAATAGAGTTTTGTCACACTGTGAAAGTATGTTTAACTTGAAGCTGAAATACAAGCATCGTTAAAACTTATGTGACATTAATGATTTAATAAGAATTTACCACCGAGGTGAAAAAAAACAGGGAGCCTCTCTCTCTCTCTGCCCCCACCCCTCTCTTTCTCTTTCTCTCTCACTCTCTCTCTCTCTCTTTCTCAGAAGAAGAAAAGTTGAAGCTGTGTGTGTATCAGCTGCAGCTCTGGAAGAATTTATATATACATCCAAGAGATGTTTGAGTTATAAGAAGAAAAAGAGGAAACGTATTTCTCGCTCTGTGGAGGACGATGAAGACTCTGCCCTGAATCAACATATAAAAGACTGAACTCCATCATAAACTCAGCAGCTTCCTGGTGGGTTTTTTTTATCTGTTCTTCATTTTAAAAGCGGATTCATTGACACTGAGTGGAGATGCAGCCTGAAGCTCAGCAGACAACTCAACAAACAGCTACAGAAATACTGGATCCTGCAGGTAAAATATACATTTAAAGTTTAATTTTATCAAGAAAATACTTTAAGCACTATATGCATGTTATTTTTGGTTGCCTGGGTCACTGTTTAAAAATGGGTTATAAGCTGTAATCAATTAATCTATCAAAATAATGTACCAATGTTTTATAGATTCAGTTATAAGACATTAATCATAAACATTTTGGGTTGCCAGGTTGTGGCAGCATGACTTGCTTTCTGCCCTTTTAACCACTTATCCTGTTTTTAAAAAGCTGCAGGGCATTATGGACCATTTACAAGAACTTAAATATTACAGTAGAACAATGTATTAAGTTATACAAAGAATTTGACAGGATGCTGATCTGCAGAACTCAGAATAATAACAACAAACTTAAAAAAAATTATGATGTTCTTTTGTTGAATGTCAAATCTAATGTCAGTTTACACAGTGTGTATTTAAATGTTGGTAAACCATAGTAAGTATAAGTATTGTTCATATGACATTAATAAAGGTTCCCGGGAGATTACTACCTGATGAATTTTCCTGAACCTGGCAACTCAAAATGTTATTATTGTTATTAATGGTTCATAACTGACCAATAAAGTGTGAGTGAATATTTATCAACCGATAGTAAACCCATTAATTACAGCTTGTGACCCCTTAATGAACGATGCCTCGTTGTTTTCTTGTTTCATTGAATAAATCTTTTCCTCATCAGACTTTCTGACATGTTATATTGGAAGAAGCACAGGTGTTGACTGATAATATTGACGCAGCTCTGTTCAGTTCAGCAGACGTGACAGTTGCACAGTGAGCCGGCATCCAAAAAACATTCAGCCCCTGAAACTGAAGCAGCTAAATGGAATCCAGCCGTCGTTCACCTTGTTATTTATGTTGTGATGGGTTGAAATACCGTCAGAGAAAAGTATTCAATCAGAGCATTGTGAGGAAAAGGTGGCAACAAGTCTGACGAAGCAAACACACGTGGCTTATTAAATTCTCAACAGCCGGTTTAGATGAATACAAGGGAATATTGTGAAGAAGCTTTTGTTATAGATATTTAAAATGCTTCATCCACAGCTCATCTCAGAGGTGGAAGGTTTACTCAAGTAATTTTATACTTCGACTAACGTGCAGAGGAAAATGTTGTACTTTTTACTCCACTGTAATTAATCTGACAGCCATAGTAATACCTCACTATTTATGATTTT